GTTTTTTTTGGTGTGCCCCCCCCCCCCCCCCCCCCGCCGCTCGTCTCGTGCACCAGATGAAATTCCAAGCCCCGACGCGCCCGGGCTTTGTGGACCTGACGGTTTTCGTCAAGAGCCCCGTCTTCGTGGGTGTCGACTGCGAGAGCACCGCCAGATTTAGGGTCTGGAGGCACGACGAGCTCAAGGAGGACGATGATGCGGGGGATTGGTAGTAGCGTCACACACGCAGCCGTCTATAATAGAACGTTTGGTCGGCACGGACTGCTGCTGTTGACTGGTCGGTCTTGGTTGGGGGGAAGCTGAGAGCATCCCGTTCTGTTTTTTTTGTGACGCCTACACGGAAGGTGTATGCGTCAGCTAGACCAGTGTACCGAGTAGAAACCGCAACGGCTTTTTAGAGTGTGGAGACAACAGCAACAACCATGTTAGGTTTTGGGTGCACGTGTTGGTGGTGTGCTGGTATTCTCCAGGGGCATTTGTTGCCAGATTCACCAGGCGGAGAGAAGCCCTGATTTGTGTTGTCCCTCATAAAAGGTTGCGACATGTCAAACGTGTGCGATGGACTGCTTCGGGAGATGACCGCTTCCACGGAAAAGGATAATGAAGAAAAAAACCGACCGGAAGACGGGGTCTGGAGGTCGTAAGCCGAGACCCCAATTAATCCGGTGGTGTCTCAGAAGATGCCATCCGTAGTTGTACCCCGGCGAAGAGGAGAGGAGGAATCACGAGCTACCAATAGCAGTGATGCCGTTGTTCGTACAACGCAGGCTCATGCCTGCATGCTGCGTGAGAAGTGGTTGCATCCCATGTGGAATGATATTGTAGCGAGTGCGTGGTGTTGTTTTGATGTCGCAGACCACCATCCGCGGTAAACACACAGACAAACCTGGCGCACATTCAAAATGAAGCCACGTTCGATCCACACTTACAAGAGTCGGGGTATCAGGCTTCGTGGGATCTCATGACTTGTCGTCGGCTGTAAGTCTCTGTCGTCATGGATGAGCAGACAACCCCGTGAATGTAGGGGTGAGAACGGTAAGCTTGGGTTTGTCGTTCAATGATCAACTCATTGCGGCTGTAGTTGTTGTGGTTGTTGTTGATGCTGCTGCTGCTGCTGCTGCTGCTGCTGTTGTTGTTGTTGCTACCCAACGTGCGCCACCCTCCCAGGCAGGTCGAATGCACTATAGAACAAGAAAGAGAGGGAGAGAGAGAGATAGAGATAGAGATGTAGCGTGTACGACCGTGTATGCTAGTGTACATGTGTGTGCGTGCTGTGTGCTGTGCTGTGTGGATCGCGCAAAGCGCAAACGCGGTGCAACCATTGAAATACGGCGAAATAGCTGTCGATTCGGGTTCCACCGCCTGTCGGTCGTTGAGAACAATGTGGTTTGGGCGCAGGGCAGGGGGCGTTCGGCCGTCTCCTACCAGCAAAAGACCGACGCCATGGACGATGTCGGACGTATGTTCGACTGGGAGGATGAGGCCCTCGAAGAACGCTGTCTAGATATACAGGATAAGGTGCGAACGAGGCCGACGCTGTGAACGAATTCACGCCGCACTTTTTTTTCACAGAACAAACAAGCGCATCTGCCCGGCTGTGCGATTGTCAACAAGACGACCACCCTCATCACCGAAAGGTTTCAATGCATCCCCTATCGAGTGTTACCTTGGACGGGTGTACTTTTATGATTTCGTGCATACTTTATCAAAATACGCCAAAGTTACGGAACAAAAAAAAACTCAAGGGCAGACCGCGCTTCCGCATTTATGTGTGGCAGAATATCAGCACGAGCGATATCGGCGCGTTCCTCCAGTCGTTGGACGGGCTCCATGACGTCAGTTCTTTAAAGGTCATCAACCTAGCCGGCAATCGCGTGGGATCCAAGCGTGAGAGCATGGTGCCAATCGATACCCTGCTCACAGCATCTGCGAAAAGTCTCACGGCGCTGAATCTTTGTGGGTGAGCTTGGTGATTCTTTCCGAGTAGAATCCGATGCACAAAGTTTTTCACCACAGAGCTCCCTGGCCGTAAAGACTTACCCTTTTGACTTCAAACGATGTAGCACGTATGCCTTCAGTTGTGTTTCGGTCTGAAGTGCACTCTTTGCTTAGGCGATCGAACCTGAAGCATCTCTCGTGGGAGCTTTTTCACCCACCGGTTATAATATGAAGCGATTCAGCGTGTTGAATGTTTGTTTCATAGTCTACGGTAACGGAAGGCGTCCGCGTCAGTCGGACCAGAGCACGAATTTTGAAGGTGGTGAGCAGAGATGAGAACGGCGTTTGACGCGAAGACAACAGCCACAATAACAACAATCGCAACAGAATTGAAGCTCGCTTTCAATCGAGAATGGAGACACACTTCTAGGCAGCGCGCGGTGTCACAGTTAGCATTGTTGCGGCTGAAACGAGAAGCAGGCGCGTCGTCTCTGAGGCTGTAACGGCGATAGACAACGCGAAGACACCAAAATACCAGTTGCACAACCGTCGGAGCTCGTGGCTGCGTATCGAATGGACAGATCCATTCACAAGAAACGTCTAGGCCCAGGCAGCGTTTCCAGTAATATGGCTATTGTCAACACGCTTCCGCAGCGCCAATCGATTAACGGTCAATCACGCATTGTTGCAGCAATCCTCTTGGGGAGGAGCAGCGATACGTTGGGCCTTTGGTGGCGCTGGCAGACACGCTGACGAGCTTGTCCCGCCTCAAGGTGCTGGACCTTTCGAACTGCACCCTTATCGGCCTGGCGGGGAACCGTTACCACGGCCTCAACGCGCTGGGAAACACCTTCGCGAGTGGCAAGAAATTGACACACCTCAGGTGCAACACACTTGCCTAACAATATATTTCGTTTGAGGCACTTGTTGTGCAGCAGTCTAGCACACGGCCGGCAAGTGTTAATGTTTGCGACGGTCTATTGGGGCACTGCTACTGTAACTTCGAAGTTCAAGTTGGTCGTTATTGTACGAGCTCTCAACATGCATTTTCGTGCCAGAGTCTGTACTACTACTGTAGAACGAGGTTAACCCGCGTCCCCAAGTAACTTCTCGCGGAACCGATGTAAAATTATGTGCATGTGTGATCCAAGACGATTTTCTGAGGGAAGCAGCAGCTGGTGGTCGTCTCGAGGACTTGGTTGAGATTCGAACGACGCACTCTCTGATGCCGTTTGACCGAATCCTCACGCGAAGCCCCTCGTGTGTATTTCCTTCCAACTGACTCCTGGGTTGCGGCGAATGCTTCCCCCTCCCCCCTTGCACCACCACCGTTCGGGGCAGAATATCTGGCAACAGCCTCCACAGTGAAGCCGCGCTGATTGTCGGCGGCTGGTTGCCCTCTTTGCCCAAGCTGCGCTACCTCGACTTGTCCAGGTGATGCGTTTTCGTTCTAAGCTCCAACTTCTGAAGAGTCCCATTTTATTCATTCCCAAGGTTCATTCCGAAGGATTTGAGAAGAGAAACGAACCTTATTTGTTTCGCACAGGTGTCAGGTTTAAAGGATGTTTGCGGTTCCGTTTGTGTCTTGGAGGAAGAGGCGTTGTGTGCACTCTACCAGCGCTTAAGCAGAGAGAGAGACTCGATTTCCCACCGTGCGTACCGCGCCAACTGCTTCTCGGCCCAGAAATCCTCTGGCCCACGACCCTCTCGGCCAACGCAGCCGGTCGGGCTTCGACTCGTTGTGCGGAGCCTTTCGCACCTCCTTGCACCTGCGGACCCTGCTCCTGCGTGATGTCGGCATGGACGACGGGGAGGCGGAAGGAGTGGCGTCGTTCTTGGCGCTCTCTGCTCGCCTCGAAAAGCTGGATCTTTCTGATAATCAGGTTTGTTTGTTCATTACGTGCGAAAATCGGTCATACCCTGCGTGTACTCTTGTAGAAAGTTTCTGATGGCTCTATTAAATAGCATTTTTGTGACGACGGACCGAGTCTTTGCTAGATTTTGGGACTAGCAACTGACACGAGTTTAATGTGGAGACAACAACGACAATAACAACAACAACAACAACAACAACAACAACAACAACAACAACAACAACAACAACAACTATCATTCGGGCGAACATGCCTAGCAGGTGGGTTGTGCATGCGTTTTTTTTAGCAATCTCAGACGCAGACGTGTTCTTATTGCGACGAACACATGCTCAAATCACAAACCGAGTATTCTTGATGAACAACACGCTCTGTCTGAGCGTATTCCGTCCATGTCCTTCCCTCGGAATACAATGCTTTGGCATGCTACACCAACAACCCCTTCACCGATCATTCCTAACCCCCAACAGTTGGGCATTCAGGACGAAGGCGACTTGCGTTCTTCCCCCCCTCCGCCCCCTTTCCCTGTTTGATAGCTACACGTGCGCGGCGCAAGATACCTCGCCGGAGCGCTGCGCTCGAACGGCTCGCTGTCGTCGCTGCTCCTTGGGCACAATCGAATCGGGAATGAGGGGGCGCTGTTGCTGGCGGCTAGCGTTCCGCATGCCGCAAGCCTGGTCGAACTAGAGTAAGAGAGAGTACGGAACGGCTGGCTGGCCAACCGCACTCATGTGTGTCATGGTGACGTAGTACTTTCGATTTCTTATGCGTTCTAGACGCTCTTGGTGTCTGTCTCTCAGCACCTTCGTCATTGTGGTACTTGTCACAACTATCACCAAGGCGATGTCCTTGATCGCAAGCACCTACTTACAAGAGCGGCTTCGCTTCTAGCGTTTTACAAGAACGGCTTCCTGGCAATTTGCGACGAATCCTTTCACCTCCAAAAACAAAACTCAACGAAACGGTAAATGCTGCCTCAGAAAATGAATGACATCAGAAAGAGATGGGCCTACATCATACACCACCTCCTAGCCGATTGCAAGCCCGTTGTGGTAGTGGTAGACAGAACGTTGGACCTTTGATCTAACACGTCGTTTCAGCAGAATAGAGAACCTCTTCTTTGCGAATCAATCTGACCATCTGTCTGCTCACGCCCAGTCTGCGAAGAAAATACTTCCAGGTACCCGCCCAACCTACCTGCCCGATATTATTGTGGTACCTCCTCCTTCAAGATAACCTCAGGAGAAACTCAACCTTATCCCGGACTATTGCTCGTTCTCGCGACAAAAAGGGCAGTGCCGAATCCTCAAAGTGCCTCTCCCGCCCGGTCCGCATACATACTCTGTCGTGTGGTCTCAGCGTGTCATCGAATGGGCTGACTGGAGGCAACAACGGCGGTGGCGGCGGCGGTTACACCAAGAAGAGCGTGAAGGAGGGTTTCATAGAAGCGGCGCTGGCGTCCTACTCCATCGAAACCTTTAGGCGAGTGCCATCGTGCAACGAGAGAGCCATCTTGTTGATTGACCACCAACCGGGCGCGGATTGACTCGTCTTGCGGCACTTGCTTGTTTGAACATAGCTGAGGATCGGAGTGTTTTCTTTCTTATGAAGAAAAAACAACAGCACACTTCTCGTTCGGGGTGAAATGTTTTGGATCCCTGAATAGCTGTCTGTTGGTTCCTTAGGGTTACCGAGTTGTGGGCACCACAAGGGCTCGAATTTGCCGAAATCGCAACAAAACCGAGAGAGAAATACGACTTCCCATGTCTTCTTATACCTCCTCCCTGACTGAGCAACAGCATTTTTTGTTTCTGGCTGTATAGGAAGGTTCTGTATGTAGGTCAGCGAGCCGCTGGTTGAGCAGAAAAACTCTCTCAAGAGCAGGTCATACTGCTACAGTATGTGCCCATCTTACTCCAGCCGGCATCTACGTGCTATATCCGCGGCCTTCTCCTCGCCCACCGGCTTTCCTCTGCAGGCTGTCGGGGAATGATATCCCACCCTCTGACGTCGAGGAGATGCAGGGGTACGCCTCATCGAACGTCGAACTACGGGCCGTCGCAGATGTGAGAGAAGGGAGAAGGGAGGGACACAGCCATGAGTGGTGCCGCCCATGGCGAGAAAAGAAAAAACGGTTCACATCCATTCACGATCCCGCTCGTCACCGCACAAGCGTGCGATTCATCCCTCTTTCAGGACTACAGACCCGTCATCAAACATGATGGGGTGCCAAAAAACTTGTGGCGAGGCAGTCTTCACGACGAAACACCTGGAAATGCCAAGCGTTTTCATTCTGCCCAGAAGAAAACAGCACACAATTTCCACTCGTTCATATTGTTTTCATATTTTAAATGCGCCCAAGTTGTTCATCCCCAACCATCTCATAGTCAACAGGCGCGTATTCTTCTTGGGGCTGCGCCCCGCCAGCATTAGTCTACGAAATTGTAGCGCACAACATTCCACTGTTGGCGTTTTTCGAACATGTACAGTGTTGTGCCTAGAAACGGCTGCACTTGGTACGCAATGTACAAAGTAGCCAACGTTTTATTAGCAATACATCAGTGAAAAGAGGGGATCGCCCTTGACTTCTCTGAGGAAGGTGGGAACGTTTTCGCTATGATAACCGCTGGGGGAGGTTGACGGGAGGACGCGTTCGTCTTTGGCCGTGCTGAGTGCGTCACACATTCTGGGCGGAAAGAAGAAAAAACAACGATTGTACTTCAAGACTACAACAATAATGTGGCCGTACTCAATACCAATATACCAGTACGTACAGATCGCCTCTACGCTGTACGCGAGTGAGTACGTACGTGCTTTCATCCACAGGCGCCGGAGAGCTACGACTTGTGGCAAGCATCCGAGATAGTCGAAACCTGCCTGGTGGCCAAGTTCGACCGCCTTCCACCGGGCGTTGCGGACGCCCTGAAGAAAAACCCCACCTTTATCGAAGAAGAGGGGCCGATGCGAGAGGCGGTTCTGGCTGCTTCACCCCTCACCAAGCAAGAGCTGTTGAGGAATAGCCCCGGGGCGGACGATATCGCCATTAAGGTTGGATGTGGAGGGAGGGGGAGGTTGTGATACATAGAGGGCTCCTAGCTAATAATTTCCTCTCGATATTTGGGAGGAAGAAGTCGAGGACGCTTGGTGTGCATTGCGTAGAAGAGCACATCTAAGGTGCGGGGGGGCGTGGCCGAGGCGGAATTCATCGCCGTTTCCCAACCTAGTGGTGCTTCGCGAGCAGCTGATACCTTTCTTCCGAGAAGCCTAGGGTTGGAGAGGGTTGAGCTGTTGGCGCCTGTGGCGAAGGCGCAGCTCACGCTTGGAGGGTGAAACCGTGGTGACCCAACCACGGAATGGGGGGACGCACTGACCCCTTGGCTTGGATTAAAGAGGGTTGGCGTTCAGTTCCTTCTGTGCATAGCTTGTCTGCAATACATGTACTTGTCATAGCAGGAGTACGGTACACAAACGCCCTGCTCCGTCTAAATAGCAACAAGTCCTCTCCCCGCTCCCTTCCTCCGAATGCCTTTTCCCCCTAACGACACCAAAACGCAGGCGAAGGGGTTTGTGGACAGTCCGTCTTCATGGATACAGTCCGCCATCGATGCTCCCGAAGACTTCATGGCGCTGGGCGAAGGAGGGCCCGACGACCCCCCACTTCTCTGAGCGAGGCCCTCTCGCCTATTGTTTGTAATCTCCAGCAGCTGCAACGTATTGTTATCTCCTTGTCGGCGGCATTTTGGCACCTGTTCGGCTCCGCATGTATGTGCGGTCGAACCCGAGGGATACCATTTGGCGCTTCGCATCGCATGTAGGGCAATACGGACAAGAGAATCGCGAGGAACGGAGCTGGGCACGTGTACAGCATGCATGATGGTTCGTGAGGTGACGATGGTTCTTCTCGGTCCTTCTTGAGACGTTTTTAACTTCCGGTTTTGGCACACGAAAGCAGCGTCCATCTCTCTCTTCTTTTTCTTTCTGATTGGGCGATCGATGTAGACTGAACTTTTTGTACCCTCAATTTGTCGCCCGTCGCCAAGGTTCTTTGTCAAACCCTGTCAGTAGCACCATTCGGCAGGGAGACGCATACTAATGTGGCTACATAGTTCCAAGACCTGAAGATGGGAGAGGCTCATAAAAGCGACCGTCGGGTAGGCGTGTGTAGCCAAACCAACACGGCCATTAGTTGAAACCGACGCCCATGAAGCTATCGCATGGGGTGAGGCAAGGGGGTCCGGTGGCTAGGCAGAGAGCTTGGCATCCCTGGAGAGAAAGCCGAGGGCCGTTGTGGGCGAGTTTTGGGCCTTTGGGGGATCCACCGGCGCGGGTGAGAGATACTGGGGGAGGCGAATCATCCTGGTACTGGTATCTCGGCAATCATCGAGCACAACGGCAGCTTTTATGTTGTGACAACGGCCAAAAAGGCGGCTGGGTGCCTCTTGTTGGGCGAAACAAAATAGGAAATTTCACCTTCTCTCTCGTCGTCATATCCGCTCTGTGTACTCCGTTGTAAAATCAATCTCTACTCTTGTGCACACATCAGGCGGTAAAAAGCACTTGGTGCAACGATAGGTTGGGCGTGCGGGCACTACAACGATCCAGCCCGCAAGTACGTACATACTGCGTACCTTTCAATACTTTAGTTAGACCGTTCCGATGGAAGGACCGGCGTGTTCTACCACTGCACACTGCTCGTGCCTCTGTTCACCCCCGAACCCAAAACAAAAGCCTATCTACTACTCATAAACGTCATGCAGCACGCCGGCTATCGGAATCGCCTACACGTATGCATTCGCCTGCTTCATGAACTACTCCCCGCTGTTAGCGTACTCCTTGGAGTACGGCCGCTATCGGAATCGCCTACTACACGTTACGCCTTCTCATGAACTACTCCACTATTAGCGTGCTCCTTGCAGCACACCGGCCATCGGAAGCGCCTACACGTTACGCCTTCTCATGAACCTCGTTGCCACGGCGGCCACCACCATCGCAACGGTCCCGAACAAGAGCCCGGAGGCCACGGCGTCCTCCCTCTCGACCCCCCGCAGGATGTCCCCGTATCTCTTGTCAGCCGAGTTGACGGTCATTATCGAGGGCGGCGTGAACATCTGTTGCCAAGGATCGGGTGCGTGCAAACACCACAGACCAAGAATGAGACCCAAACCAAGCGAGTTGGGGGGGGGGTGTACTCATAGTCTTGCATGCCGTAGTCGCTTGACCATTGACCTCGCATCCCCACAAAGCCGGCACGGAGCACGCCGGTTTCTCACCAAACAAAGCGAGTGGGGGAAGGGGGGGGGGGGCAGTATTTAAATCTGCCCAGCTCGGCGAACACAAAACTGCACTCCCTGCCAAGCCTGCAAAAAAAATCAAAACCCTACCTTAACCCCATGTGTACTCCTTTGCCCTCCGGGGTGGCGAGACTCCTTATTCCCATCCAAATCCAAATAATGACTATTCCTGCCCCCCGATTGATTCCCTGTTGGCCAACAATTGGTGCCCCTAGCTTGTCCTTTGCCCAAATTCCATGGGACCATTAACAACCTCCGCCATGGAGGAACGCTGGTGGGGTGAACATGAAAGCATCATGTTCACCTCGGGGGCGACGCGGCCGAGAGTCTTGTGCAGGAGTACTGTCAGGTACAGGCGGGCCGCGAACATAGGCCGAAACGTTCTGGCTCCTCCCATCCCTCGTTCGCTCAGCACGCACGCCGCTGTGGCGTCCTCCAACCTCTGCTCGTTGAAGGCCTCGAGCGCCCCGGGCACGTCGATGCCCTGTGCCGCCGCCGCTTCGCCCTCTGCTGCGGAGTCCAAGACCTGAGCAAGCACTCGACAGTCCTCTAGCGAGAAGAGTCGATAAAAAGAAAGGGGGTCACGGACTCTTCATCTGTGAAAGAGATGGATTTGTTGTGTTCTTTGTAAGCATAAAAAAATAGGAAATCGACAGGACCATTTCTGTTCATTCGTTACTTTTAATCAGCGCTCACTGCTGTCCCATCCATCCTGCTGGGTACGAGCTCCTTCCAGTCCGTGGTCACACAGAGGCCGTTGTAGAGAAACAAACATCGCTCTTACTCCGTTCAACAAGCGCAATGGTGCGGGTTGCTACTAAACAATATATTCAGTTTATCGAGGAATTGTGATGGAAACACAAGGCATACAGTGGGTAAAAAAACTTCGTAACAGCTAGTTCATCGAATTTATGGCTGGATAGAGATGAGTTCACTTTGTTGCTGTAAGAAACAAACGACAATTCACACACAGAAGTCATGGCCGACGCGTGCATCCTTCTTCATCCGCTACCGTTCCGTCTTTCACCCGGAGAATAACAACCTGGCTTTTTCCCATGACACCCCCTCACGGGGGTCCCAGATCATGGCCTTCAGAAACGCCTCTTTCTGTTTTCAGCCGCACTGAGACTGCCTTCTATTTTCATCGGTCAGGCGGTTAGCACGGTCGGCGCAACTCAAAAGCACACACACGGCGCTCGAGCAAACGAAACCGCGACGAGAGTGAGTGCCTCGTGTGTTAGCCTCTTCCCTGGGCAGTGTCGTGCCCACATGACGGCGGTGGGTTCACTTGTAGTACTCGAACAGGGGCAGAGGGAAGGCGGGCCGTCGGCTGAAAATGAAGAGCATGACTGCCACAACAACAACCGATTGGGGCCAAGTGGCAATGGTTCAACGATGGCTACCTTTTACTCTACATGCCCAGCCCAACAATTTGTGTTTCAGGCTCTGGGGCCTTGCTTCTTCAACCTATCGCGTTTGAGTTGGTTTTTCTTGGTCGCTTCTCGTCATTTCGGCCATACGTGATGTACCCTTTTTGGGTAGTCAGCCTGTGACGACATGGAAGGCGTTCGCGTCCGTTGGACCGGTTCGGACGCTGAACGGCACCGAGCGGATATCGGGACAGTTACAAAAACGAACACAATCACAACAAAAACTACGTAAGACTCTAGGCTATGCCAACGCCGACACCTTGGGTAGGAGGCTGCAAAGGCGTTGGAAACTTCGGTGGAGTCTGCCTGCTTGCATGCCCTACTTGTAGCTGTTTTTAGCACGGCATCAGGCAAACCGACCCTTTCGTTGCTTGCTCACCCAAGGCTGAGTTGACGCCTTGTCCTAGAGACGCCCACATGGAATGGGCGGCATCGCCAATCAAGACGATGCGTCCATGTGCCAGACGCGAACAGTAGGTGGACCGGAGCTGCTGTGTCCTGCGCATTTTGACCATGAGGGGGGGGGGGGGGGGGGGGGGGGGACCCCAACCCTGGAATTTCACATTTCAAAAAAACCTGGGCGGGGGGCCCCGGGGGAAAGGGGGGGGGGGGGGGGGGGGGGTTTCTTCCCCAAATTTTTAAAACTTTTGCCCCCCCCCCCCCAAAAAGGGGGGGAAAAACCCCGGGGGTTTTCCGGGGAAGGGGTTTCTAATATAAAAAGGGAAAAGCCCCGGAAAATTTTGGGGGGGCCCCAGAAGGGGGGGCCCCCCCCCCCCCAGGGGG